TTTTTGACGTTTAAGTGTCATTTAATAAACTTTTTACTGCCATAATAATTATGTTTTCTTTTGATTAGGCTGAAAAAACAAACATATTATGGCAGTAAAAAGTTTATTAAATGACACTTAAACGTCAAAAAAGTTAAAACAGGTCATCTGGACAGGATGACCTGTTTTAACTTTTTGTGATTTATTTGCCTGGATGATTGAACGTAACATCAGGACACTTAAATGTATTGAAATGTTCTAACTGACACTTTTTAGTGGCCAAAAGATACAAGAACTTCAGACGCTTTGTGTACAACTATGAAGCCGAGACGCTGAACGGTGTGAATGGAGCCGCGAATGAAAAGGCCGGCCCTAAAGTCCACTGTACAGTAAGTCCCGGAGCCAGAACAAAAACCTCCATGGCTGTCAGTGTGAAACAGGAGAGCAAACTGTTTCTTGTGCCGCGCAGGTTGAGGTCGACGTACCCCAGACGTGTAGCTTCATCCTCCGCACCACAGACTGCTCTCTGAGTGAGATCTCCGGTTTGGACGATGAGGGGAACCCGGTGTACCGTCCTGCTGCTGGGGATGAGAATTTCAAAGCTGCTATGGCCAAGTTAGTCATCCTTTATCTGTCCAGGAATTACATCATAGTGTGACAAATGAGCTCATTTAGCGAGATCAAAAAGAGAGGATGACCTAAATGTTTGGTTCTGGGTTCAAATCTACCCCTGCTTCCAGGAACCCTTTGAAGCTTTCAGTGGAAGGACAAACTGGTGTCAAACTGTACCCTGAGGATGATGAGCCCACCAACATCCTGAACATCAAGAGGGGGATCGTCTCCTCTCTCCTGGTGCCTGACCTGGATGAGGAGAAGAACGCTGAAATGGTAGCTCCTCTTCTTCTTAATGATCATTTTGCAGCCAGTTAGTCCAGACCAAGAGGAACTTAATTCTGTTTGTGATGTGGAGTCGCACAAAGATAAACAAGTTGCACAACCAGCAGATAAGCTTCCCCAGTCAGAGGTGATAAATGCACTCTTATGTTCTTACAGTGACACTCATCGTGTACAGGCCAAAGTCCGTGATAAGTTATCTGAGCTCTTAGCATCACCTGCTCCCACGATAAGAGTGGAGAAAGACAGAATCGTTCAGGTTCATTGATTATCGGGTCTAGAAAGGACAGAACACACATTCTCCAATCAGATAGGCTTTGTTTGTGAGATGTGACGAACATCCCCCCAAGTACTGATAAAGCCTCTTGTTTTCAGCCCACCGTGCACGGCGTGTGCTCCACTGAACTCTCCGTTAACTCCAGAGACGACGTTGCTGTCGATGTGACCGTCAGCAGGGATCTGTCCACGTGTAACTGGTTTGTTGCTCGCAGACAGGACACCAGTCCTCTGGCCCTCATCTCTGGCATGGTGAGAACATCAAGTTTGATCAAAGTTGAACTCACCTTGTATCTTGTCTAAAAAAATGAAGCATTATACTCATCTTAAAGATACTCTCAAACACGCCAAATACATTTCCTGACCCTGACTCGTGCGTCTTTCGTCAGAACTACCCTGTGTCCAAGATGATCAGCAGCACTCAGATCTGTAACTACAAGTTTGACAGCCAGAAGAAGCACATGACCAGTGGATCCTGTACAGAGAAGCACATCTTCCTACCCTTCTCCCATAGGTAAAAGAATCAAACAATTGTGCACCATTCTGAGTTCTTTCTTTTTTTTACTCATTATTCTAATTTTTAAATCTCCTAAACTGTGTTTGTCTCCTTTGGAATAACAAGGGATGAATATGGAATATCTGCAGTCGTGAGGCAGACTGTGACTCTGAGAGAGACTTCCAAGATTAACGACAGAATATTCAACCACAGTAAGTACCGATATATTGGATGTACATTGTCCACACTCGTCTACTTTCCTGTAGTTTTCTTGTCGGTGCCAAATGCTTTCCGGTGGAGGCGCCTGTTGCTATTCACCTCAAAACAAGTCTCTTTATTCACATCTTAATCTACTTTATTGTGGCCTGAACAGTAGAGTTCACCCTCACAAACTGTACATCAAAATGAGCATTGGCATTTGGACTTACCGTACTATGGCAATGTAATTTGCCCAAAAAACAAACTTTATAAGATAGAATGGATATATTTTTTAATCCCATTAAACCTTTGAGCTTTTTAAAAATATCTTATGAACCGCAAGACAGATTTTATTGAACCTCTCACCAAGTAATCACTGGAGGTGTCTCTACTAAACCCGATTCAAAACCCAATGCAAAATGACAACCACCGCTACTTTGGCAAACACAAAAAGGGATATAACTCAGATATACTGAGCAAATTTTGATGTGGTAGTAGCTGATAGTAATCTCCATCACAAACTCGGAGTACAAACAAAGGAGTGTAAACTTTGGCTCCCACAGTTCCTTTTCAAATGGCTTTAACTCGGTCAGTTTTAGAGGTATTTACCTACATTGGGTGTGATAGTAGCTGACTGTAATCCACAAACGCAAGCTGAGTGCTAACAGATTGCTAACTTGTTTGTTATCCAAGATGGTCGCCACAGCTATCTTAGCCAACACAAAAATGGATATGATTCAGTCAGTTTTGAAAATACCGAGTTAAAAATTGATGTCGTCATGGCTGATAATGATCCCAAAGAGATCCTTTACCTGCTCAGTTCTTCATTTGCCATTACCTATTGGGGACAATGTCTGTTGGCAAAATATATCATCAACCACTGAAACAATTTCAATGAAACCAATGGATGCATGCTTGAAATAAACCTGATTCAAGATGGCTGCCATAACTGAACACACGAAACGCAGACACCTTGAAAATGTCTTCTGAGTTTTATTTATTTATTTATTTTTGGCTGATTGAACTGTAATTCTGTTCAGATGAAGCCAACCTGAAGTACCTCCCCATGGACGCTGTTGATGACAAGCTGCCGGTGCAAACCAAGGACGCTGTTCTAACCACGATGCAGAAGCTGAACACCCTGTCACAGACCACTGAGGGCCAGTTGCGTGCCGGCCTCTTCCACAAGCTGGTGTCTGAGCTCCGCGGATTGAAAGTCGACATTCTGACCTCCAGCGTTGATGAGATGATTGAAATCTCTGAATTTCTGACTTGGCAAGCTCTGGTTCAGTGCGGTACCCCAGAATGCACCAGCAGCATGCTGAAGATTCTAAGAAAATTTGACCAAGATGCAAGTGAGGTCGATGCGGTCATCTATGCCCTGGGAATGCTGTCCAACCCCTCCCGTCTGATGGTGAAAGACCTGCTGGCAATGGCTCAGTACAAGCAGAGCAAACCCATCATGTATGCCCTGAGCAATGTAGTTACAAGGTACGAATTAAATGCCAAAGTGCTAAACATTTTTTTCTTTTGTAAATTAGCAGATAATCAATTATATTGTTGTTTCCCATTAGACTGTACAAGTCTGAGGGCGTCACTCCGGAGATCACTGCTGTCTATGAGTACATGACATCCCTTTTGGGTCCAGACTGTGCAGGGGAGAAAGAGCTGACCTTCCTGACACTGAGGGTAGGTTACCAGCTCCCAAAACAACTGGAAAACATGAAGAAAAAAAAAACCACAAAGAAATAAAAAGCTCAATCTTATCTGTGATATTCTATCCAGGTTATTGGTAACATGGGAGAAGCAATGGAGGCCGCTGGCCCTATCAAGAGCACCCTGCTGAAGTGCATGAGACAACCCGCTACTACTTTGTCCGTGCAACTCTCTGCCATTCAGGCTTTCAGGCGCATGTCCGTCACAGAAGAAGTAACTATCATCCTGGTTTACAGCGATAATACCTTTAGTTTTTGTTACATTGTGTAAGACCTACAAATTGAATGTGACAGACTGTGACTATAAATTAAAGGGAGTGTTGTTGTTCTGTCTAGGTTCGCTCCAACCTCCAGAGGGTCAGCCAATACCCCAAGGGTGCGGTGCAGAAGCGCCTGGCGGCTTACCTTATTCTGATGAGAAATCCACAGGAAAGTGACCTTGAGATGGTGAAGAAGCTGCTCAGTCAGGAGCAGAACGTGCAGGTCAAAGCTTTTGTGTCCTCTCACATCTACAACATCATCTCCTCAACCGATTCAGAGACCAAAGAGTAAGAACGAAAAACCTTTGGAGTTCTGAACTCTAGTTTATTGGTAATTAAATATTGTCAATTCCTTGGCCAAATACACCAATTGATTTGCATCTATTTTAACTTCAGGCTCGGTCAAAGAATAATGGGAGTTCTGCAGGACACTGACGTCATCACACACAATGACTACAACACCAAGTCTCGCAACTACAAGCTGGGTGTGGCACATGAGAACATGCATGCCAACATTCAGGGAAACGTCATTTTTGATCCTAGCAACCAGTTGCCCAAAGAAGTCTTGTTGGAAACAACCCTGGAAGCTTTTGGCTACAGCATGGATGTATGGGAGGTGTGTGTATTTCCTTAAGCTTTAATGGTTTTCTGTGTTGGGCTCAGTTTGACCAATCATATCTCTGGTTCTGGACGACTTTTTCTGTAGGTTGGCATGGAGGGTAAAGGCTTCGAACCAAACCTCGAGGCTTTGTTTGGACAGAATGGTTTCTTCCCTGACACTGTATCTAAAGCTCTGTATTGGGCTGAGGACAAGATGCCACCAAAGATCAGAGAAGTTCTGGAAAAATGGCTCGCGCCTCTGAAATCAGAACGGCCAAAGGTATTCATCTTAAACTCTTGCTACTTCGTCGTTTTGTTTGTTCGCATCACAACTAACAAAATTTCTTTTTCTCCCAAGGTTCCTGCAAACCTAATGGCAGAAATTGTTCGTAACTTCAACAAACTGGTAAAAGATCTGCAGAGTCAAGAGTCCCCAGAGGCCATGGCCTACCTTAGGATCATGGGAACTGAACTTGGTTACATCAAGGGCACCGATCTGAAGTTTATCATTGAAAACGCAATTTTGAACGCAAAGACTTACATGCATCATGCCAAGGTATTGTTCAATTCTGCAGTTACATTATCTTTATATGTTTCATGGCTTTTGAGTTTGTTTGTTTGGTTTTTGACCTCACGTGTCTTCACATGCATGTTTTTCCCATCAGTTCATGGGTAGCTGGGTGCCAAGCACTGACAATGAGATTTTTGCACACTACATCTTTATGGACAACAAATTCACCTTACCAACCGCAGCTGGCTTGCCAATGACTTTTGCTCTTTCTGGCACTTTTGCTCCTGGTGCAAAAGGAGGCCTTCATATTTCTCCAAACATGGTAAGAGTTTTAATATTTCCTTTAAAAAATATATTTTAGCTTTGGATTGGAGTAAAAAAAAAAAAAAAACTAAACTCTTTAACATTAACCTTTAACCTTTTCGTGTTCGTGATCTACTCACAGAATGAGCTGGTCTTCAGTCCTTCTGTTGGAGTTGAATTCATGACTCAGATGGGGGTCCACATGCCCGAATTTGTTGTTTCTGCTGTTGAGATGCATACCACCCTGTTCCACGAGAGTTCCTTTAATGCCAAGATCACCATGGAGCAAAACCAGGTCAAGCTCTCCATCCCTGCTCCACAGGGTACCACAAAACTCTTCAGAATCAGGTGACAATTATAAAATAAAATAAAAAAAATTGTATTCTGAAACAGTTACGAATTGTGTAACATTCCGAACGCAAGCAGCATAATGTCAATACTATCAATTATTTTCACCAATTACTGTGAAAAATTGGTGATAATGTAATTAACTACCTGTATCTATGTTCATTTGTATGTCTGTTGGCAAAATATCTCATGAACCAATGGGTGGATTTTAACAAAACTCTCAGAAAGTAATCAATGGATGTATATCTACAACTGATTATCTTTTTTAGGGTCTATTGAATTCAAGATGGCCACCACAGTTAATCGATGTTGGCAAAAAGACAAATATCTATGACACTACTTCTATTGAAACTTGGATCATGGGATGCACTGTAAAACTTCTGTTGTCACTTTTTCCTGTTGTTCTAGCAATAAAGTGGAGATTGTTGGTGCTGGACAAGCTACAATGATCCCACACAAACAGAGCATCTCAAAGTGCAACCCTCTTTTCTCTGGAATCAAATACTGCACCACATTGCGTTACACAGACGCTAGTGACAAGACCACTGCCCCTTACTTCCCTCTGAATGGAGAGACAATGTAAGTTGCAGTCTAAAGAGGTCATATTTAGCTTTTCACAGTATTATAGAAAAGTAAAGTGAAACCTCATCAGACTTTATTTCTCTTTAGGCTTGCTCTTGACATCGAGCCCACAAAAGAGATATCTGAGTACACGGCCGTCTTCGTCTATAACCTCCTCAGCGAAGGAAAAGATGGCCGTCAGAAGGTTGATTCCTTGAAGATGATCCTCAGGGCCGAGGGTACGAGCATCATGCATATTAGAGAAATTGTTCTGTAAAACTGCAGTGTGAATGTTGAGTGCTGAGTGATTGCAGGAATTAGAAGCTGAAACTGAAAAGATGCAAAACACTAGCTAAAATCCCAAAGTAGGAAAATGCTTGCTAGTTCCCAAATCTAGCTTAAAATCAAATTTAGCAGAACGCTTGCTAAAAACTAAAAGTGGTAAAAGTAAATGTGCTTGCTGAAAACAACAAAAGGTTAACTTCAAGCTAAAAGTTGCAAAAGGTTAAGCAATTAAGTGCTTGCTAAACGCTAATAGTAACAAATAGCTTGGTTAAACTAGCAAGTTAAGTACAAGTTAAAAGTAGTCAAAGGGTATCTAAAAGCTTAAAAAATAGCAGGTCTGCAGCTAATAGTCAAAAGTAACAAAATGCTATCTAAAAGCTAAACAATAGCAAGGCTGTAGCTAAAAGCTAAAAGTAGTAAAAGGCTATCTAAAAGCAAAAATAATGCAAGTTTAGTTTAAAACTGAAAGTAGCAAAAGGCAAGCTAAGACTAACACCTTAGACAAAAGCTAGAACTAACAAAAAGCAAGCTAAAAGTAGCATAAACTGATGAAAACAGACAAGTTGGTTGAAATAGATTTCAAGAAAACAATGTATTTAGAAATTGAAGAGATGTCTGCATTCCAATGGGAGTAGATTATGTTAATTTAAAAGTTCCAAAAGCCAAACGTCATTGCAGCTATCTCCTGAATGAGCTGAACATTTTGATATATAAATGGTTAAAATAGCACAAATCATGCCAAAGTAGTTAGAATTAAAAATAATAATAATAATAATGCGGAAAATACAACGACAGGAAATAAACCAATTATTGTTACTTTTCTGTGACTCAAGGTTCACAGCCCAGAGAGGCTACAGCCACCATGAAATACAACAGGAACAGGAACATTTTCACCACTCAGATCCAGATACCTGACATTGATGTTGAGGCGGGCGTTAAAGTTGGCATGACAGACAGCAGTTCAAAAGGCAAATCCATGTTCCTTGAGATCTCCAGCAAGAATGTGCCCCAGCTGTCTCTAATTGGCCGAGCTAAGTGAGTAAACTTTTTTTAACACCGTCATATACATATTATATGTATTTATTTAACGTCAGCCACTACAATTCTACCATCAACACATTTGGACATGCGTGCTTTAACTGATAACTTTTTTTTACATTTATTGCAGGCTTCAGGCTATGAACGATGGAATGCTGCAGGTTCAGCTGCTGGTGCCATCCCTCAGAACTAATGCCACTCTCAGTGCTACAATGAGCAAAACTGACGGGCTCACCATGCAGATCAAGAGTGATGTGAAACTCCCAGAAGTCTCCTCCATTCAGGCAGTCACTGTCAAATATGGTATATTAGTTTTAAAATAGCCTCAGTCGTATTCAAAGCTAAGCTGGTTTTGTAAGATTTATGGGAAACTAAAATGCAAATGTTTATGTATCTCAGGTAAAGAACAGGCTGAGGTTAATCTGATGTCCAACATGAATGCTGACACAAAGATCCCAGTGGGCTACACCAAAGCTGCTCAGGCATTGCTCGGGCAGCTTGCAAATGATGTCATGGACAAACAGGTTGTCAATACAGACATGAAAGTACGGCACATTCTCAGCAAAGGCCTTGAGGTAAAAACAATTATGACAACTTTTTCCCAGACACTAGCTTTGACAGGCTGAAACATGAGAAATGTTTCTTTTTAGGCCACCAACATCTGGATTGATAAGATTTCCGTTGATGTTCCTTGCATCAAGAAACTGAGGAACAGCGTTGAAAAGATGCAAATGCCATCAGTGCCTGAAAACTTGTTCATGAATCTGTAAGTCCAGCTAATTAAGTGTGTCTGTAATTAATTGCTGTCTCTTGATTTGGATTTAGAACATCATGTAGTCTATTTAAGTGTATGTTTTGAAGTTTAACCCTTTTTTTTTTTTTTTTTTCATTCAACCAGTGAAAGCACACTCAGATACCAGTTCAAACAGAACCGCTTTGTGATGACTATCCCTCTGCCTTTCGGTGGGAAAACATCTGAAGAGCTGAGGATACCATCTGTTGTCACCTCCCCTCGCATTTCTGTGCCTCAATTGGAAGTGGATTTTGCCCCTCGGGAGGTCCCAATCCCACGTTTTACTATCCCCTCTGAATATGATCTCACCCTACCTCTGATGGGATTGATGGAGGCATCTGCCAAAGTCAACAGCAACTTTTACGACTGGGAGGGAGTGATTACTGTTGGTAATAACACTGCAGAGTCACCTGAATACGTGGCCAAGTTCAGCGTCATGGCTGAAAGTCCAATTAGACTGCTATCTTTCTCAGCTGAAGGTAATCTATACTTTGTTCTGTAATAAATATTAATTTGCAAGTTAATATTGAAAAAATAAAATGAAGATAGGATGTGTACTCATTCTTTTACTGAATTTTCCATCTCACAGGAGCATCCAAAATCACAGACACAGACAAGGAAACAATTGAAGTCACACTCGATGGAGCCCTGAATCACATGCTCATCAACACAGGTTTCAGCGTGTTGGAAAGCATTGCCGTCACAGACAATATACTGACAACAGGTCACTACAAATTGTATGCTGCTGCTGATCCTGCTGGTCTGAACACTAATTTGACCATTACCACCCAGTACACCCTTGACTCAAACATGTTCTTTGGAGATATTAACACAGATGGGAGCATCACCATTGGACCCATGGTTGCCACCACCACTTACCTCCACACCTTCTCTGTTGAGCCAGCCAAGAAAGAAGCAAAAATGGAGAGCACATTGAGGGTGAACTCTGAAAAGCTGAAGCTTGCAAACAAGATCAAAGCATCCTATGAAAGTGATGAATTTTTGTTTGAATCAACCACCAACATGAACCATGACCCAATCATGCACACCACCAAAATTAACCTTAACTACAAGGATGTCAAACTCACCTTCCAGTCTGACTCTGTGACCAAAGCTTATGAGAAGATGATTCGTAGTCAGATGGAGTTCTCCTCCTCTGGAGGACAGGCTGCCTTCAGAATAGAGAACCAAGCTGATGATACGCAGAACCGGGCATATTCTTTGCTGACTGGAGTGATGAATCCCTCTGGCTTAGAGATCAATGCTGATGCCTCCATAAACATCTTCTCAAGTATTGCTTCCCATAAAGCAACCTTGTCATTGAGCACAAACAGCTTGACCACCAGCTGTACAACAACTGCCCGGCACAGCCCATTTACATTTGAGAATATTTTCCATGGCGGGGTTGACACCACTGGAGCCACCTTGTCTCTCACAACAAAAGGAGCTATTCGGGCCAACAAAGCTGAGCTCTCTGTAGAGGGAAAGCTTGCAAACACAGAGGTTTATCTCAACAGCATGTTTGCAGGTAATCTGTTTGACATCAACAGCAGGAACAGAGTGAACTTGAGGCTGAATGAAGATGGTTTGGTCTTCTCCAACAACATGGTTGGATCTTTCAGGGAGATGAAGACTGACAATACCCATTCACTATCTCTTTCTTTGGGATCTTTAACCCTCCAGTCCAAAACTGACAACTTCCTTGACAGGAGCAATTCCTACATGCACGACATCACAGTCAACATGAAGCATTTTACTGCTTCAGTTACAGTGAAAAATGACCTGAAGGTGATGGCGGTTAACTTTGTAAATGATGCCCAGTTCAAGACAGAACCTTACAATGTAGAACTGACTGGAACACTGATGGGAGCCTTCTCAGAGGAAGAGCTCAAGCACACATATGAAATCAAGTTTGCTAACATGATACTGTCTGCAATGTGCAACACCAATGGAAAACTCCTAGGATCGCGCATGACACATTCAACCGACATGGAAGTTGATGGTTTGACTGTGAAGTTCAACAACATGGCTAGCTTTAACTCGCCATCTCTTCGTCTGGACAGCATGATCAAAACTGCTGCTGCACCCTTCACTCTAACCATTGATGCCATTTTCAACTCAAACGGTGAAGTGCATGTGTATGGACAGCACAGTTCTGAAGTGTACAGCAAATACCTCCTTAAAGCAGAACCAACACTGTTTACACAGTCCTTTGAGTACAGAGCCTCAACCAGCCATGAAATGGCAGATAGACCTACTATCAAGACCAATATGGATAACAAGTTGAACAGCATGTTAAGCCTGCAAGAGCAGAGTATGTCACTGAAGGTGATATCCACAGTGAATGAGCACACTTTTAATCAAGAACTGAGTGCATATAACAATCCAAAGAAGATGGGTATTGAAATGAAAGGAGCAGTCTCAACTCCCCTCTTTAGTAAGGCCAGTCAAGATTATGCCATCTCTGGATTTGTGAAATATGACAAGAACAGTGACAGTCACTCCATCCTGATCCCATTCATTGAACACATTCCAGCAGTGATTGAAAGCATGAAGACCACAATGATGACTCTGATGGATAACAGCATTGAGATGCTTAAAGACATCAGCACCAGGTATGAGATCAGTGCCAAGTTTCAAGGCAAAATGGCAGAACTGAAGGATGCCATTGATCATTTTGACTTCAACCTCTTTGTCCAAGACCTGAGAGAGTTTCTCACCATTGTGGAAAAATACATCACTGAAATGATGGCCAAGTTCCCAACTGATAAAATTGTTAATCTGTTCAAATCTATCAAAGACACTATCAGGGCTACAATTAATAAAATTAACATCCACGACAAACTTGAAGCAGTTTATATCAAAATTGAAGAGTTTCTTTCCAACTATGGGGTTGAAAAAATAATTGGGGCCTTCATGGATGAAGTTGTTAAAATTATGAAGGAATATCAGATCAGAGAGAAGATTCAGCTTACATTTGAAGCTCTGAAATCAATTGATATCCAGCCTTTGCTTAACAAAGCCCTGGTGCCTGTTAAGGACCTTATGAATGAGCTGTATGCCTTTGACTTCAAACAGCTATTTGATGACATGAGTGACTACTTTGTAAGAATAATACAGAAAATTCAGTCCTATGATTATGAAACACTCACAACAGAGCTGAAAGAGAAAGTTGCAGAGATGAGCAAGATTCCCTGTTTTGGAAAACTCTATGGTGAGTTCAGAGTTACCTCGCCTCATTACAACCTGAGGACCACTGCTGACCTGGAGAACGCCACAACCTCATCAGTCACACCAGAATTCAAAATAAACCTAAACTCAAGGGCTGATTCTACTCTGAAAGTCCTTGACTACACTGTGGATGCCTCTGCACATTTAGCTGCACCCATGATGAGCCGTTTGACCATTTCCGAAAACATTAATGTACATCAGCTTTCCTTTACACTTGACCACAAAGGAGCAATGGATTTCTATGGCCTATCAGCCCTAGCCTCTACTGAAACAACTGTGAAAGCCACAACTGAGTTCTGTGATGCAGAGCTTGTCAATAATGCAGTCCTTAACACAGAAAATGGAATCTCTGCCACAGTAGAGACTACCTACAATCATGACCTCAACATGCCACCCTTAAACGCATTCAGCAAAACGATGATGAAACAAAAGAGTGTCTTTGGGCTTGTAGATGGCACCATGCATCTCACTTTAAATAATCAGGCCAATGGAAAATATACAGTTCAGAGATTCTCAGATGAAGCAACACATAAGAGTGACATTGATGTGGAAATGGATCTCCACACAGCCAAAGTTACCCTCACTGGAGAGACAAGCAGCAACCACTTAAAGATGAATCAAACTGTTGTTGCTGATATTTGCATTTTCCGCCATGTCATCATCAATGCCAAGGCTGAGACAGAAACACCTTTCATGAAGGGGAGTGTTGCAGAGGTCAAGCTCCAAGCTAAGATTGAAGACATGAAAATTGATCTCACTGCTTCTCACAATGCAGAATTGGTTGGTCAGGTCGAAGGAGCTCTCTCAAGCTCTGCCCTCGCTTTGATCAAACCTACAGAGCTCATGTTTGACATGAAGAACAAGGGAGGTGCCAAGGTTGTTCTGCCATTCAAGCTGTCTGGAAAAGTTGACCTCCAGAATGACATCGCTTTTACTCTGAACTCTGAAGTGCACCAGGCAAGCTGGACCGGCCTGGCCAGGTTCAATCAGTACAAATACTCCCATTTTTTTTCCATGGACAATGGTGAGAAAGAAATTACCATAATTTCCCAAATCAACGGGGACGCAAATCTTGATGTACTGAAGAAACCTATCACCATTCCTGAAATCACCTTACCATTTGTTGGCATGAAAACACCAAGAGTGGAGGACTATTCTCTCTGGGAAGACACTGGCCTGGGCTTCATCCTGACAACAACTCAGCAGACATTGGACATGAAATCCAAGCTAAAGTACATTAAGAACTCTGAGATGATCACTTTTGATATTAATTTGGATCCAGTCATTACTGCTATAAATACCAACATGGAGGCTCTGCACAAGAAAGTGCTTATTAATAAAGACAAGGCCACAGCCATCCTTGCTTCATCTTATGACAAAGCAAAGGCAGAGTATGACAAATACAGCATTGAGTTACCAAAAACCATTGTAGTACCTGCCCACAGAGTTCCACTGATGAATGTTGAAATGTCCTCTTTCACAATTCCCCTGCCCGATGTCAATTCCATTGCAATGCCTGCCCTGCATGTTCCAGCTGCCCTCAGCAAGTTCACTACTCCAAAAATCACTCTACCCAAAATTCAGACCATCAAGATCCCAGTGATGGGTGACCTGATCTACGAGTTCTCCATGAAAACAGCAATGATCACACTCAAAACTGACGCCAGCGTCCTCAACCAGGATGGCCTCAACATCAAACTTGATGCCTCCTCATTGTCTGAATTTGAAATTTTGAATGGGAAGATTGAAGGCAGCACCAAAGTGAAAACAGTGGATGAATTTAAAATGGCCTCCCTCCTGTCTGTGAAACATTCAGTGCTGGAGGGAAACCATGAGAGCACCATCGTCTTAGGCTTAAAAAACATAGACACCTCTATCACCAACGCAGCAAAAATCAATCTGTCTTCTATGACTATGGAAATCAACCAAGATATTAAAGGGAATCCAGCCGAAGGCCTGGTTGTGTCCATGTCTACTCCATCTACAGGACTCATTGCCATTCAGATGCAGACAAAGCAGCCAGCACAAGTGAAAGCCAGAATCTACGGTCGCTACCCGGTAACAAATCATTTAAATACAGTTTAGATGTTTTTTTTAAAGCTCATCTTAATTTTCTTTTTATTTCTAATTCAACTTTTAACTATAATGTTTCTTTTTTTCAACAGACTAAGCCAACAACCAACGTTGATATCTTGGGTCTCAAGATTTCTGTGACTGAATCCAAAAAGCTAAACCTTCAGACCACCTGGAATATGGAGATGCCATACGAGATGATGCTGGGACTGAAAAAACATGTGCCCACAGTGATGGAAATGGTTTCCGATCCTGCTGTCAGAACATACAACCAACTCAACAGGGATGCTAGAAGCCTCAAGGTCTCGTTTAAAAAGGCTACAAAGCAGGGTAAAGAAATGTTCAAGAAGGCTGTTGAGAATCTCGCTGCAGTTAGTCCTTCTGATCTCATGCCGACTGTCATAGATAAGACCCTTGTGATTCTCAAAGAGTACCAAAAAAAGGTTGAACTTGTTCTCGATGCTGTTGTTAAATTCCTGAAACAGACCAAGTTCCAGATCCCTGGTTATGAACAGAGGCTCTCTGGACTTGAGATCCACCAGAAATTGAGCGCGTTTGCTGCTGATGTGTTTGAGGAGGCTGTTGAAAAGATCCCAGAGTACATCGCCTCCATGTTTGCACCAGTCGTTGATCAATTCAAAGCGATCAAATTCCATTTTCCCGGCTCTAACCGCATTGTCAGTGGGGCAGAAATTCTTAATAATCTGATGGAGTATCTGAAGAAAATGCAGGCGCGTGTGATTGTTACTGTGAGGAATTTAAGTGCAATCCAGCTGGAAGATAAAATCAAGCAATTCTCAGCATTTATGCAGTTTATCGTTGAACAGAGTGAAAACTGTCTCCAACGTCTAAAACAAGAAAACCTAGAGGGCATTTACAACTTCTTGGATGATATGTACAAAAATCCCAAGATTCCTGAGCAAATTAAGGACGTCCACAGAATCATTGTGGAATTTCTGAGATATGTGATCGATAAACTCTCCCAATTTACAACCCTGTCACCCTATGCATCTACTGAACAGCTTAGAACAGACGTCCAGTCTTGGATTGACTCTTCGGTAAAAGGCGTTAACACCGTCCACAACACCGTCATTAGGACCCTCAAAGAGAAAAGCAAGAGTGTTGAATCCTACGTTAAAGTAGATGACAGACGGATAGAGGTTGAAATTCCTTTACCAAACATTGCCAGATTCAACTGAATGTAACCAAGGCAAACAAAAATGTGGATAAATGTTTGTAATACTTGTCTCTTTTTCATAACCAACAACACAGCCGTGAAGGTTTTGTCCTAAAAACTCAATTCTACAAAAACAGGGATGTGTATTCCTATCATACTTCTCCATTCTGCTTCCCCCACCCCATTATTATTTCATGGTAAACTAACAATTGTTCTGATTCTATTGTTTTCATTTGTGTCTTGTACTATTTAAAAAGCCACGTCAATAAATACAGTTTGTACTGCATACCTGTCAAAGCATTTCTTGTATCATTTAAAAACCAGTATGGAGCAATGCACCTTGTAGACTCTTATGAAACGTTAACTTTCGACCACATTAAAATTCTGTAAAGATGACGAGTCTTTTAATATACATTAAACACAGCTCACAGGACAGGACGCTACTAACCTGTGGCCACCAGTTACTTGTTGTACACTTGGGTCTAAATTTAAACATGACCAACAGTGTCAGTGCCTGACATTCTTTCTAACATTCCTACAAGTAAGTAATATCACCTGACACTTTGCATGACGGTTTTAATCTAAGTTCATCCTTTCAGCACAATATCTGTAAAATTAGCTCTGTGGCAGCCATTTTATTTTGGACTGACACTAAAGGTTATTTAGATGTAGAGATAAATCCAGTGATTATTTTCTGAGTTTCATTAAAATCCTTTTAGTCATTCATGAGATATTTTGCTAACAGACACAGTTGATGCCAGAAGTTATTGGTCTAGTTTAAAACAGGGCTTCTCAAACTTTTTGAGTTCAGGGACTTCACAGGGGAGGAAAAGTTTCAGGGACCCCCTCATAACCTTCATGTTTATTATATAATTTTCTTCAATTTGTCTCTTTAATGCAAATAGAAATATCTGTGTAATATAAAAAAATTAAGACTGTTCTTTAATAGTGTTGATACAATTTTTTTAATCATTTTTAACATAGAAGACACAATTAATAAAAGTTTTCGTTTCAATTTCCAAAAATTAGTTTTGAGAAAATTAACAGTATCAAAAACCACTTTAAAACTTTACCTATGAACATAAATTGCCACTCCTTCAAATTGTTACAGAAAACTCTTTACATAAAACTGAACAGAATCATAACAGCAGTAGCCAAACCAAGTAAGGGCTTAATCTGTAAATCGATTATGCCAGAACGCAAATAGCGGGGGGATTGGCAGGGGGAGGGGGGTTTGAATAAAGTAGATGTGATTTCCTGCATCTTGGTGTATTTCAACAGGTTGTTAAACATCTACGTGCTTGTTAAAAAAAAAACAGTAGTCCCTCGCTACTTCGCGATTCGTTTATCGCTGACTCGCTCTATTGCGGTTTTTCAAAATAAGATTGGACATGACACTGATTGATGGACGAGCCGCATGATCGGCATGGAAGTTTTATTTAAAAGAAATTATTTTAAATTATTTAGCACCTGCTGCACATTTGCAGCCCTCACTGCAGGATAAACTTCCTGCTGCAGCTGATCAGCTGTTCACCATGCATAGCGGAGAAGTGGGCGTGGCCAAGAGCGCTTGCAGGTGGCAAAGAGCAGAGGAGGCAGGGAGCTGAAATCATGACGTTCTGTGCTCTTTTTAGTTTAGAAACATTGTTTAGAATATTGCAAGAGTGTATGAAGGGTTTAAAATGCCTTTTTAAATAATAATTATTAAAAAAAAAAAAACTACTACTACTTTGCTGTTTTTACTTATCGCAGTTCTTCAGGGTACGGATCCACTGCGATAAACGACGGACTACTATATATATATATATTTATTGGTTTTTGCTTTTTTTGCGGACCCCAAGCACAGGCACAGGGAACACCATTTTAGAACCACTGGTTTAAAAATAGATCAGTCTTTTAAATATTGTGGGAAATTTCTCTTAGCTGCTAAAAAAAAAAAACAACCATACTCTGTAAAAATTTCAGAGTTATAGCCATTTTTATGTTGGCGAAAGTTACTTAGCTGTGGCGGCCATCTGTTTTAGAGTTGACTCCTAAAGTTAATCAAATGATTACTTTTTGAGACTTTCATTAAAATACATCCGCTGGTTCGTGAGATATTGTGCTAACACAACAGATAAAAAAAACAAGTATACATAGACACAGGCAAAACATTATCACCCTTTGCCTTTAAGAAAAAATAACTGTGCTATAAGAAAAAAAACCATCTGAATTAAACTAAAAATATGTGACTCACGTATTAGTCTCCATACATATTCATGATGTAAACTGTTGTGTTGATGTGTTTTGAGAAAAAACAAAGATTATTAAAAAGTTGACATTTTTATTGGGATTTTTAAAAAACAGCAGCACTTGTTCCCTTATACTTGTACCATTTTACCTCAAAAACGTACAAAAAAAAACAAACAAAAAAAATCACATTCATTGTTGTCCTCCTCTGTAAAAAAAAAAAAACAATAAGTCAGCGAAGGCAACACAAGGCAGAAGGAACAGTGGCCTTTACACAAATGTCCTTTGTTTTAAACAAAGAATGAAAACTTTGATCATTTTTTTTACCAGTAGAAAACACAAAATATATTTTAATAATCAGTATTTTTCTTGCAGGGACTGGTAAAAGCAAAATAACATTCAAAACATTAATAAAAAAAAAAAAGAAGTCACCATTGCAGCGTCATTAAATTTGCGTCTGTAGTTGTCGTGTGAACGAGCGCTCCCACCACCGCGCACGAACACTAGCAGAGACAAACTAAACTTGTTCACAACTATAAGTTATACAAGATGAATTAATCTAAAGTTTAACACAAATATAAAAGTAAACTAAAAGTGCATTCACTATCAAAATAGAAGGAATCATCTAGGGATCATCTTAAATAAAAAGGTGCTCATTGCAAAGTCATGAAGACCAAACAAAAATAACCATAAAATTAAGCAATTGTTCCCTTTTCGACTTGTAAAGAAGCCAAAGCTGCTGAAAATAGGTTAAAACTTACAGGCCGTGTTGTGCTTCAGGTTTCATTCGAACGCTTTGTTTACATCAAGTGCATACCTGCATTTCATGACATTCTATAGATATGGAAAACTTAAAACTACTGCTGTCAAACTAACATTTGATACAGCTCTGTTTGATTTCATACTTTGCAATGAGATTCTTTAAAGTCTAAATTAATCCTTACTCGTCCTTAAATACCTTTTTACAGCATAAAGGGTTTAAAAAGTCAATACTTTCTTGCATTAATTGGCTACAAATAGTCAAACTGGTGCATTAAATCAACACAAAATGGTTTAAACGAGTGTGGCTTACGAACGAGTTTTATGACACTTAAGAGAAAACACACCCTTTACAATAAAGGTCATCTCCCACTAGAAATGTAAGCTGGAGGTAAATAGAAAATGTTATAAGCCACAAATGGAATGTATTAGTCAGTAAAACAGCTGGCTTAACTCAGTCTGTGTGCATAGTTTGATTAGAGTAAATTGGAAGGCATCGTCTATTCTTTGGTCGTCCACACAGCCACAGCTAGGAATAAAACAGAAACACGTTTTAAAATAAAAGTGGTCCCTTGGAAAGCTGCAGAAGTGCAGGTCTCCTAACACTGTTATGCTTCACTAGAAGCAAACCGATCCCAAAGATTCTGCAAAATCAAGTTGTCTCATTCATTCAAAAGTAGTAAAAATACTCTAAATTAAGGCCTAGCATCCCATAAAAAAACACCCGTAGCCCACCACAGATTTAAACTAAGATATTTTGTTTAGAAATTTGCTTGACAATAACATAATGTGCCATTTCATGCAGTAACAGTAGATGTCACGCTCAAGCCACTATTAAACCAAATCTTAAGCTGGATTTCATAAAACTTGCTGACTTATCTCCATTTTTGAATTTTCTAAGACTGTGGCAGCCATCTTGAAAAGGCTAATCCAATGAATAATTTCTGCAAGTCTCATTACAATCCACCCAGTGGTTGATGATAGATTTAGCAAACAGATGCACGAAAACGAAACAATCATCTAGCCAAGGGCTTTTCAAATGGTGGCCAGGGGGCCAAATCAGGCCGGCATGTGAACTCAGTTCGGCTCACCAGTGGGTTCATCTTTAAATAAAACTAGATTTTAAACCAGAAAACAAACTTGCTGACAATAACTGCTGGACGTTCGGCCCCTGAGCTCTTGGCTTCCAGTATTCGAGCTTTAATTTTAGTGGCAGCCGATAAACAGAACACCCTGTTGTAGTAACCATGTGCAAGTTAATACAATAGTGTTATTACAATTTGAACATAAATTACAGTGCAAATGTGCTTCTAATTATAAAATATAAATCTCGGGCTTTAATACAATCAGGTCCTCCTAAAAAAGAAGATAAAAGTCTTTGCAGTGTTTTTCCCTTGCAGTCAGTTTGGGATCACGTGACCGACAATCCATGACAGGGTGTGCTCAGAACATTCAGTCTGCGGTTAATGGGTTTGGTTCAACCCAGGGCTGCAGGGGGTGTCCCGGGTGCAGCCATCATCATGTCCCTCAAACATGTCCAGACGGACTCCTCACATCAGGGCGCAGCAGTTGGGGCACCCACCCCGGCTCGGCGCCTGCAGGGCCGCGCGCGTCGCGGCCTCGAACACCTCCCAGATCCCCTCCTTGGTTTTGGCCGAGCACTCCACGTAGTTGTGGGCGTTGATGCGCGCGGCCACGGCGCGGCCCTCCTCCGCCCTCACCGGCTCCAGCTTCACGCGGGCCAGTTTGGCCCTGGTCTCCTCGTCGCCGCGCAGGTCCTTCTTGTTGGCCACCAGGACGATGGGCACGTTCGGGCAGAAATGCTGGACCTCCGGGAGCCACTTCTCCGTGATGTTCGCCAGCGAGTCCGGGCTGTCCACGGAGAAGCACATGAGGACGACGTCCGTGTCCGGGTAGGAGAGCGGGCGCAGGCGGTCAAAGTCCTCCTGTCCCGCCGTGTCCCACAGAGCTAGCTGAACCTGCTTGTCGTCCACCTCTATGTCCGCCACGTACGTCTCGAACACCGTGGGGACGTACACGTGGGGAAACTCGTCCCTGCTGAAGACAAACAGGAGACACGTTTTCCCGCACGCGCCGTCTCCTACCACCACGAGCTTCTTCCTTATGTCCGCCATTGGATTCTTCTCGTTGTTTCCTTTTCTCTCTGTCCTACTATTTTTTTTAAACCACGGACCTGAACCGGCAGGAAGTTTTCTGCCTCTGTCTTATAAAGCGCAGGGAGGGTTCCTAAATATAGCAGTCCAATCAGAAACGTGGAGGTGAGGTCACGGTCTGCACCGGGACAGCTGATTGGCCCGGACCGGTTTCCCTCCTCTGTGGGGGAGGAGACCCACCCCAAGTCTGAGTCAGACAACCCTGAACCTCACCACATGATGAAAAACATATCTTTATTTATTTTTTTTAGTGTGTATGTGTGTTTTGAAAGTAGCTCCTGTCCTCCCTAAAATACATCTTACTGATTTGGCTTTTTAATTTTTTTCTAAATTGCCCAGAAAATTGACCTAAAATCAAAACCGAAAACAAGTTTCTGAGCAGTTCATACAGATGTAATATGCAAATGTCCTGTTGTATGGCAGGTCGATGTATCATATAGCTAATTCTGTATGGCAAGCTTTTTTGTGTCATATGAACATCCTTTCTTTTTCATTCAGCCTTTATTTCATTCAACCTTTATTTATACAGATTAGTCCCACTGAACATCGGGGATTCATTTACAAAAGAGACCTGAATTTATAAAAAATATTTAAAAAAATTATTTTTTTATTTTGTTTAAAACTTTTATTTTAAAAATATTTTTAAAAAATATAAAAATGTATACAGGTTACTCCCATTGAGCCTCAGGGACTCATTTACAAGAGAGACCTGAGTTTATTTAAAAAATATTTAAAATGTTTATAAAAAATTATTTTTTATTTTATTTTTACATTTTTATTTATAAAAATGTTAAAACATTATAATAATAAAAAAAAAAAAACTACAGGTTTGTCCCGTTGAGCTTTGGGGACTCATTTACAAGAGAGACCTAATTTTTTTTTTTTTAAATGTATAAAAACGTTTATGAAAAATTATTTTTAACATTTTATTTAGAAAATGTAAAAAATTATACAGGTTAGTCCCATTTATCTTCAGGGACTCATTTACAAGAGAGACCTGAATTTATAAAAAATTTATAAACAATTTTTTTTATTAAAAATTATTTTTATTTTATTTATACATTTATAAATATTTTTACAGGTTATCATTGAGCCATGAGGACTACCAGTAATTTACAAGCGAGACCTGTTTCTCACTTTAAATGTCAATTTAAGGCACATATGTCAAACTCAAATCTGGTCCGTCAGATGATAATTTAAATGTAAATTATTTTATCTCTTCTATGTTTTTCTTTTTAAAAAACTGATAAATACATCATTTACTGTAGACTTCTCTTGCCAGCTGGCTAACTTTGAAGCCAGAAATAAGGTTGGATCATTCTATCATTACTGATTCTGATGTGGAAAGAGTCACAGAACGTCGGGTGAGACAGATCAAACTCTTGTTCATGAACCTGCAACCGAGAAAAGATATCAGGTATCTGACTCGAGTTAATGGATCAGCTGAAAGTATGGCCTATGGCTTGGAAAAAAGTTTTTAAATTTTGGCTTCTTTTGAGTTCGACACTCAATTTATAGGTACCATTTTGGATTGAGTGCATATCGCCCGCTGTTTTATGCAACAACAAAAAAATTAATTAAAACTCAAATCATTATCTGCTGAAAAGGGGCAGAGTCTGATTTGTATCATTCAGCGCAATCGCTTGCAAAAGAACTCAAGTGACTCCCAGCTGCTGCTACAACACTAAGACATTTAGCCAGTTTTGTAAAAGCTAATGTCAATTGGCTATAAGCCTTCTTAAACTAAGTGAGTTTCAGATGCACTGCTGAGTATTACTGTTTATTATTAAAACCTTTCGCTTCCATAACCAATTTTTTTATAACAACGTCAACTTTCACACACAAAGATGAAAGAAAAAAGTTCAACTACTGAGAAGTAGTTTCTAAAAGACTCCAAATATAGACTTTTAGCTGAATACGTGCTCATTGAATATATAGCTAAATGTCTTGTTAATACTATTTCGTCACTTTTTCAAGTATTAATTTTGGCTGAGAACGTTAATGACTCGTGTGTTAAGTTAGTAGAGGGTTTTTATTCCATTTCAGAGAGAGAGCTGGGCGAGGAGCTGATTTGATACATGCACAGCTGTCAGTCCAGGGACACCGGTCTGCCTGTGAGCCAGGAGCTGATAAACATATAAAAACAAACCTCGCACACCGCCTGTGGCAGATTCTTGTGACTGCTCCATGCATGTAACTTCTGTACATCTGCGTAACCTGTTGTGAAAATCTGCCCTCGCAAGTAAAACCAGTTAAAAATCTTCTTCTGTCGTCGAGTGTGCCTTCTTTGAGTAAGTAAGATAAATAGAGGATATTTTTATCCAACGTTAATCACAAAACGTAGTCATAACTTTCAGTTTTGTCTTAACATTTTTTAATCAAGGTAAAAGCCAATGAGCAACAAACAGGGTCCTCAACCCACTTGTTAAGAATCACTGATTTACAACATCTAAATGAAACGCTTCTCTTGGTTGTGTTTCAAAAATCCACAAGATTTGAAAGCTTGTTGCGTATTGAAAAAGTTATTATCATTTGTGATAACTAGAACTACATTTGAGACATGTGAAGTGCAAAATGATGATAAGGCAGTTAGAATTTTGGATGTGTTTGACTAGGGAAATAACAGAATCATGGCCGGGGGTCTGCAACCTTTATGATCAAAAGAGCCATTTCTGCTCCTTCGTTCGCAAAACTTGATACAATTGTCATTATCAACTGGTGGCCCATGGGCCATTTTAAGTTTGTTAAAGGGTTTGTTCTGCCCAGTAGGTGTGAAATTATAAAACTAAAAACATCCAGTGACTGTTAACGTTTATTGATATCTTTACATTTTGAGACAAAAGAATAGACTGGATTCCATCCATCCATCCATCCATCCATCCATCCATCTATCCATTATCTTTACTCACTTCTTCCTTTTCGGGTTGCAGGGGGTCACTGGTGCCCATATCCAGGTCGCAAGTCCATAAGACTGGATTCTTGTAAATAATTTATACATACATACATATATATACA